ACGGTAAGGTGTCGGTCGATCCATGGATGATGTACCGCTTGTCGTCGTGCGGACTCAGAGCGAGCTTCCGTTCCGACATGGTGAACACCTCGTGCAACTGAGATCGTATGCACGACTGCTGTCGCGTCAGTTCGGTTGCGTTCCGCAAACATTGCACGTAGTCGTCGAAGGTGATCCTTCTCGCAACGACGCTTCTCTGCACACCTTTCACTTTCTTCGTGCACTTGCTGTCGCCCATTCGAGTCGCGTACATCTTCGTGCGCAAACCCACAAACTCCGTCATAACAGCTCCGTTGTTCTCATCCTTCATAAGTCCCGGTACCTTCTTGTTTGCGCGAGGCATGTTGTATGAATTGTCCGCTGGATAGTCGCTCGTATCGAAGCGAGCGATATCGCGCTTCATATCCTCGTACACATCCTCGCACTTTATGTGGTATATCAAACTGTCGGTATCGGTGTAGAGGATCTTGCAGTCGTAACCGTACAACNGTGCCATGTGGTTGTAATGGAATTCATACAGACAGGTCTTCGATATGTCGAGTATGCACATGCCAACGTACAACGGTTTGTTGAATAAAACTTTCAGACGACGCAGTTCTATGGCTACTAAATCTTCAGTGAACACGCTGCGGCTGTGGAAGTTTGGTTTTGCAATTAGCGCCTCCGCACCGCATCGTCCTTCCCATTTTGTAACGAGTCGTACGTCGGTGTACTTGCGCACGTTTTCCATTGTCTTGCCGAACACCGCATTGTTCATAAGTTTATAAAGATTTTTTGCAAACTCGTTGGTGGCGTTCGCGCGGAATCGGGTATTCAGTTCGATGTATCCGCGCAGCCATGGCGATTGCGAGAACCGCAGTACTCGATGTATTCGCGTCAGGCGAAGCCCGTATCGCAGACACTGCTGCAGGTTGAGGTAATGAATCACGTATTGCTTCTTGTTGAACACTGTGGCGAGCAGTTTGACGTGATTCTTTCCATGTTTACCAGGCGGCTCCTCACGCGTCGAACAAAAAGGCAGGTCTCTGTGTGCGTCGTGCAGTTCTTTCGGATACGTTAGATCGACTTCGAGTATGTAGCCAACGTTGCTGTCGGCGGCTACCGTTGTCACATCAAACTCGTACGCGTTCTCCACCCACGCAAAGTTACCATATAGAAGGTTGACACTTCGCCCATCCGTAGAGATTGTTAACGTCGTAGTACATCAGATACGACGTCGGTTCGGATGGATCGTACGATTGCGCATACCTGTTGTTGGCGCGGGCGTATCTGTTTGAACATTGACTCAGACCGCCGCGTATGCCGCGTTCCACGAACATCACCATGTCGATGTCAGTCAACAGCTCGAACGTCACACGAGTGTGCTTCAACATAGCGTCCCATGTATATCCCGGCAGCGTGTAGTAGTGCGCGGGATCCAGTCCGTAACTCGCGAGGCATTCACGACGGAAGTTTTCAAACACATCGGCAAGCAAAAGTACGTCTGTCTTCAGATATAGGTCGCTGTAAAATCCCAAATTGTCAATGTTGAATTGTTGCCAGACGTGCGTCGCGTGCGCGTACTCGTTCTCCGTCACAGTCTCACCGGTCAGCGAACTGTAAAACGCCTCGCGCGGTGGCAAACTTGTTTCCAACAATTTGTCGACGCTGTCCACATATTCGTATGAAAACACACCTTCTCGCGTGAGCAGTTTGAAGTCCTTGGTGGAGAGATCGTTGAATTCCGTTCGAGTCACTCGCAGTTCGCTCTTGTCGAGATAGGACGCGAGCTTTTCTAAGCTTGTGCTCAGAAATTTGTACGAATCGATGAACCGCAGTTGCACGCACTTCTGATTGTCTTCATCACGAGTACTGCTCA